GCTTTTCGATTTTTGAATTACCCGATTTTTCAATTTTCCAATTTTTTAAATTTTCAAGTTTTGACGTTTCTGAATTTTCAGTTTTCCGATTTCTCAATTAATTTATTTCTTGATTTTCCCATTTTCGACTTGCCAAAGTTTCGATTTTTCAGTTTTTCAGTTCTTCAATTTTTCGATTTTTCGATTCTTTAGGTTTGCAATTTTTCGGCTTTTCGATTTCCCAATTTTTCAATTTTCTAAGTTCCCAATTTTTGGATATTTCGTTCAATTTTGTGATTTTCTCAGTTTTTCGATTCTTCAATTTTTCAATTTTGGGATTTTTTAATATTTTGACTTTTGGATTTTTCACGTTTTGGATTTTTCGATTTCTCGGCTTTTTACTTGTTGGATTTTCAATTTTCGTTTTTTGAACTTTCGGTTTTTACAAAAAATCTAATAATTGACGAAAAATCGAAACCTTAAAAAATCGTAAAACCGAAACATTGAAAAATCGAAATCTCGAAGAACTGAAAATCGAAAAAATGTAAAATTTAAAAATCTAAAATTTAAAAACCGAATAACGAAAAATCGAGAAATCTAAACTCCCAAATTAAAAAAATCGGATAACTGAAAAATTGAAACATCGAAAAACTGGAAAATCGAAAAACTGAGAAATCGAAAAATCAAAAAATCAAGAAATCATGGAGTCGAAAAGTCGAACAATTGAGAAACCGAAATAGGTCAAAATCAAAAAATGGAAAAATCCTGAAGAACGAGAAATCGGAAAGTGATGAAGTCGAAAAATCGAAAAATAGAGAAGTCGACAAACAAAAAGTTAAAAGTTTAAAAATTGGAAAAGCGGAAAAATCAAAAAACGAAAAATTGGAAAACTGGAAAAACTGAGAAACCGAAATAGGCTAAAATAAAAAATGATAAATCGAAAAATTGAAAAACAGAACATCTAAAACCAGGAAGTCGAAAAATAAAAAAGATTAAGAAATATTGAAAAATTAAAATATCAAAACATTGAAAAATCTAAAATTTAAAAATCCAAAAATTGAAAAATCGAAAAAGTAAAAAGGTAGACACATCGAAAAACCCAGAAGTCAAAAATAGAAAAGCCGAAGAATTGAAATATTGAAAAATCGTAAAACTGAAATATCTACAAACTGAAAAATCGAAAAATCAAAAAAGTGAAGTCGAAAAATAAAAACCTTAAAAAATCAAAAAATTGAAAAATCAAAAACCTGATATATTAGAAAAAATTGAAGAATTGAAGAACAGGAAAATCGAAACACTCGAATGTCAAGAAATGGGGAATTCAAAACATGGATTAATTGAAAAATCGAGAAACCGAAAAATCAAAAAATCGAAAAATTGAAAATTTAGACCCGCCAATAATTGAAAACTTGAAGAGAAAATTGAAAAATCGTAAAATTGACAAATCGAAATATAAAAAAAAATCGAGAAATCGAAAATTTGAAAAATTCCAAAACCGAAACATTGAAATATCGAAAAACCGAAAATTTACAAAATTGAAAATGAAAAACCTGAAAGATCGAGAATTGAAAAACTGCAAAATCAAGAAGTCCAAAAACAGAGAAATGGGAAAATCAAAAAGTCGAAAAATCGAGAAATTGAAAAATCCTAAATTTGAGAAATCGAAAAAAAAATCGGGGTTTCGAAAAATTCATGAAGCGAAAAATTGAAAAATTCCAAACTAAAACACTGAAAATTGAGAAATCGAGAAATGAAAAGACGAAAATTCAAGGCGAAAAATCAAAAAACCGAAAATTTAAAAAACTCAAAAATCAAAAAATTGAAAATCGAGAAATGAGAAAATCGGAAGGTCGAGAAATCAAGAAATCCAAAAGTTAAAAAATCGAGAAGCTGAAAAGTAGAAACATTGGAAAACTGTAAAATTAAAACATCAAAATAACGAAAAATTCAAACTGAAACATCGAAAGACTTGAGAAATCGAAATGGACCAAAATCCAAAAGTCGAACAATTAAAAATTTAACATTAAAAAAACTAGTTCGTAAAAATTCAAAAATCCAAAAATCGAGAAATTGAACAATCAAAAAAGCGAAACGTCGAAATGCTGATAAATCCAAAAATTTGAAAAATTAAAAAATCGAAAATTTGACAAAATGACAATTGAAAAACAGAAAATATAAAACCGGGAAGTCGAAAAATCCAAAGATTAAGAAATCGAAACATTTGAAAAATTCGAAAACTTGAAAAATTTAAATATCGAAGAACTGAAATGAAAAATCGAGAAATCGAAAAATCTAAAATTATAGGAATTAAAAAATTTAAAATTTAAAAATTGAAAAATTGAAAAATCGAAAAAGTAAAAAAATCGACCCATCGAAAAATCCAGCAGTCAAAAATCGAAAAGTCGGAGAATCGAAATATTGAAAAATCCCAAAACTTAAATATCGAAAAACTGAAAAATGAAAAAAAACTAAAAATGGGAAACTAAATCGGGAAATCAAAACATTGAAAACTTGAAAAATTTAAAACGACAATTGAAAACAGAAAATCTAAAACCGTCGAAAAATCGAAAAATCGAAAAAGTAAAAAAATCGACACATCGCAAACTCCAGAAGCCAAAAATCGAAAAGTAGAAGAATCAAAATATTGAAAAATCCCAAAACTGAAATATCGAAAAACTGAAAAATGGAAAACATGAAAAATCCGAAAACTGAAATATCGAAAAACTGAGAACCTAAAAAGTCGAAAAATTGAGCAATAGAAAAATCCAAAAATTGAAGTCGAAAAATTGAAACCTTAAAAAAATAAAAAAATCAAAAATCAAAAACCTGAAAAATCGAAAAATTAAAAAATTGAAGAACAGGAATATCGAAACCCTCGAAAGTCAAGAAATGGGAAAATCAAAACATCGATTAATTGAAAAATCGAAAAATTGACAGTTTATAAATGTCAAATTTGAAAAATTGAAAAATTGAAAATTTGAAAAAACGACGATTGAAAATTTGAAAAAACGACAATTGAAAAACAAAAAATCTAAAACCGGGAAGTCGAAAAATCGATTGATTAAGAAATCAAAACATTTGAAAAATTCGAAAACCTGAAAAACTGAAATATCGAAGAACTGAAATGAAAAATTGCGAAATCGAAAAATCTAAAATTTTAAATATTGAAAAATTAAAATATCAAAAAACTGAAAAACCTGAAATTTAAAAATCGAAAAATTGAAAAACCGACAAATGAAAAACAGAAAATCTAAATCCGGGAAGTCGAAACATCGAAAGATTAAGAAATCGAAACAATTGAAAAATTGAAATATGGAAGAGCTGAAATGAAAAATCGGGAAATCGAAAAATCTAAAATTTTAAATATTGAAAAATTAAAATAGCAAAAAATTGAGAAATCTAAATTTTAAAATCGAAAAAGTAAAAAGTCGACACATCGAAAAATCCCGAAGTCAAAAATGGAAAAGTCGAAGAGCAGAAATTTTGAAAAATCCCAAAACTGAAATATCGAAAAACTGAAAAATGAAAGAAAAACTGACAAATCGAAAAACTGAAATATCCAAAAACCCGGAATCTAAAGAATCGAAAAATTGAGAAATCGAAAAATCAAAAAAGTGAAGTTGAAAAATCGAAACCTGAAAAAACAGAAACATTGAAAAACCAAAAAACCTGAAAAATCAATTAATTGAAAAATCAACAAATAAAGAGTTTATAAAAGTCAAAATCTGAAAAATCAAAATATTTAAAAATAGTAAAAATGAAAACCGAGAAATTGAAAAATTGAGAAATTGTAAAATCCAAAAATTGAATAATAAATAGGAGTAAACTGAAAAGTCCCCAAACTAAAATTTCGAAAAACTGAGAATTCGGGAGTTGAAACAGCAGAAATTGTGGTCGAACCCGGTTAGAACGTGTATCAGATCACGGATCCTGGCTTATAAATCAAATCGTTTCCGAACGCTTAGAGTCGACATTGGCCTGAGTGCGCTCTGGTCTGTAGATCAAACAAGTTCTCAGACGACGAACTGTAATTCGTATGACCTGAATGAAAGTGTCAATTTGTCGAAAGTAAAACGCGTCGTTAAAAATATTATGACATTTTTTCTAGTCAATTTTATTCCTAGTTAGAAACAAACGCTATTCTGAGTGATACAACCTTAAGTTAATTTCATTGTCGTAGCTTTCCATTGATGACTTTATGTGTTGTCTTTTTATTGTTGGCATTAAGATCCTCACGCCTCTTAGCCCCGGACAACTACCTACGACCCTATTAAAAAGTTAATTCAAGTCGATTCCGGCCCTCCTCTTTGAGTAATTTATTTTCGGTTACAGTGTGATGAGTTTTTAGGGAGGTTTAATGGAGAAATAAATACGGTTCGTTAAATCGAGGCAAAACGACTAGGAGTAGCGCGCCGCAGTTTATTTATTTAAAAACGACATTTAAGCTGACGTGAAAGGCCGGGTGAGGAATTAGTTGGAGGTTTAGAAAAGTCGCTCGTGATTGGAGGATCGCGGGGTATTTGAAATTATCGATTCAATTGGGTAAATAAAAATGTAAATGAAAGTAATGAATTGTTTGTTTGCTGGGGTGACACTGATAAGTTTGAAGAACCGTCGACTGAACAATTTGTTTACTTTTGTGCGGGGAGTATTGTGGCGGACGCAGACTCCGTCTTAGAATGGAGTAGTTTTCTCACCACCAACCTTACTACGACAAGAAGACCGTCTAGACGCCGGAAACTCTATCCCATTTCGACATCCCCACCCTTCCCTCGCCTCCTCGATGCATTAAGCGATAAAAAACATATCATTAGCAGTGCAAACAAGCTATTGTGTTTTCCGATGGCTGTAAGCATTTTTTAAGCAGATGGCCATATGCGCGATAAAAAGCGCTGTAATAATACGCACGTTATTTCAGGACTGTCCCTGCTTTGTTTCACACCTGATAGCACTCGACTGCACGATATCAAACCCTATCGATCTACTTTCGTTGCAAATCTAAGCCCTTGGATTTGTTCCAGACGAAGGGAGTACCGGACCAAGGCTCTCTGGAAAAATGCCGTCAAAAGGCTGTCCAGCGAGAGGAAGAAAAGGCGGGACTTCGCCTCGATAGCCTTCGCTATGATGCACGCGAAGGACGCGGAAGAGAAGGCGGCGATCAAGCAGGTACCTGATGACGGCAGTAGGTGGAGGCGGTGTTGTAGAGGGATGCTCTTGCAGGACAGCACCGACATGAGTTTGAGCAATCACGTGCAAGGACCCCCGAGCAACAACAGCTCGCTCAGGAATGGGAAACCCGACGAAACTTTGGACTATTTCAATGGGTACAACGACTTTTACGAAATCGAGGAGTCGATCGAGGCTGCACAAGAAGGTAAGAATTTGGCTTTCAAAGACGATTGGCTACAGGTTGTCGTTTGTAGACTTCGCGAGTGTCTTCAAGCGCGGGCTCATGTACAAGGGCATCTACTGGCCCAGTTTGACCAATAGCTTCCAGTGCAAGCACTTGGAGTTGGCGTACCTCCGATACTCCCACCGCCAAAGACAGAAAGCTTTAATCATCGTCAACATCGTCGACTTGCTCCTGAAGGCTGCCCTCATCGTCGTCTGCGTGGTCGCCAAACAAGACGACACCTTCGACAATAACACCCAGCAGCGCATCATTTGGTCCGTGTCTTGCATGTCCATCAACATCGCCATCTGTATTCTGGGCTGGTGGAGGTGCTTCGCTAACAACTACCTCCACTGGGCGGCCGTGTGCACCTGGTTACTTCTGACCACACAAAGTTGTACTCGTCTGACTATAGAACGAGCAAAAATTATCGTCGTGGTTGTAGGTTTCGTCGGCTATGGATTCGGGTTCACCGTCAAGGAAGACCTAGTGTGGTACGTCCTCTTCACGGTGTTCGTCCCCTACGCTATGTTGCCGCTACCCTTGCGCTGGTGCATGATCGCTGGGTGTCTCTCAGCAGTCGGCCACATCATCGTCATCTCCGTCGAGCTCTTCGACAAGGACTACAATTACGTAAGAACCTCTTTGACCAAGTGTGATAAAGTGTGACGATTTTGTCTAGTCAGATGACGACAAAGAGTGCAAAATTAGACGGATCATCGCCAATAGTATTTTGTACGTGGCGGTGAACTTTGCCGGGATGTACACCAAGTACTTGACGGACCGCAGTCAAAGAAAAGCGTTCTTGGAGACCCACCGCTCCATGGAAACCCGGTACCGAACGCAAAGCGAAAACGACAAACAAGAAAAATTATTGGCTTCAGTACTCCCCGACTTCGTCGCCAAGGAGATGATCAAAGACATAGAACGCGAGGAGCGAGGAGGGGTATTCCAACCCCACCAGTTCCACAAAATCTACATCCACCGCTACGAAAACGTCAGTATTTTGTTCGCAGACATCAAAGGCTTTACAGGTAAGTCAAGTCGCTCCTGGGTAGTTAATCAAACCTAACACAACCTGAAGCCTTGGCTAGCCAATGCAGCGCCCAAGAACTTGTCAAAATCCTAAACGACTTATTCGCGAGGTTCGACAAGCTAGCCACCGAGAACCACTGTCTTAGAATCAAGTTGCTAGGGGATTGTTACTACTGCGTCTCGGGTTTGCCCACGCCTAGGTCCGACCACGCCCACTGCAGTGTCGAAATGGGACTACACATGATCAAAGCCATCAGAGACACACGCCACAAAACACAGGTAAGTTTATTTGGACATAGATTGACAATAGTGGTACAAATCTTGAATTCTATCGCCAACTCTTGCTCTATATATTGGCGATAATTGAACAATTTGCGGCTTAGTTCGTCGTAGTAGACGCGTTTGAGGGCGTCTTCGTGGTTTAGTCGAATATCGCGCACTGTGGTCAGGTGCACCACCGACAAAAAATCGTGACCAGGGGGACAATATCGCAACAACTGGTAGTCGACGAAGTTGCAGTCAACAGCTTTGTCGTTGTCGAACTTGAGCAAAATGTTGCTAGTCCACAAGTCGCCGTGTGACAAGACGTTTCTGAAGCGATCCGACGCACTCACAGTGGAGTAAAACAGTTTCATCATCTCGGGGAAAATTTTTGACAAGTTGTCTCGATTTTCGGGGGTTTGGAATTCTAGCCCCATTTGCCATAAGTCTCCCGCCCCAATGGTCCTCCTCATCCAGAATATTGTCAGTTTTTTCCAAAATGTGCCGAAATTTTCAAAATTTACACTTTTGGCATCTACAGGAATTATTCTTTATATGTATTTTAGATCTCTTTTTTCAAAATTTTGGATTTTAGATGTTCTTCAAAATGTGGCGAATTTTCCAAAATTTTGTTTCAATTAAACATTTCAAATGTATTATTTTGTTCACAAACTGTAAAAAAGTAAAGGTTTTTAGTGATTTTAGAGATCTGTCAGAATTTTTGTTTAAATTTTTAGACTGTTCTTTCGGCTTTTCTAATCCAATATTTTTATCAGTTTTTTCCAAAATGTGTCGAAATTTTCAAAATTTAGACATTTTTGTGAATTTTGCGATGTACAAGAATTTTTATTTATATTTTTGACTGTTCGTGTCAGCTTTTCTGATCCAAAATATTTTCAATTTTATCTAAAGTGGGCCGAAATTTTCAAAATTTAGACTATTGGGACCTACAGGAATTATTCTTTATATTTTAGATCTCTTTTCTCAAAATTTCGGATTTAAACTATTTTGGATTTCAGATGTTTTTCAAAATGTGCCGAATTTCTTGTAATTGATTTATAATTTATGATTTTGTTCACAAACTGTCAAAATTTAGGCTTTTTGCGATTTTTAGAGATCTAGAAGAATTTTTGTTTAAATTTTTAGGCTGTTCTTTCGGCTTTTCTGATCCAATAATTTTTCAATTTTTCCGAAATGTGTCGAAATTTTTAAAATTTTTGAGCCGAAATATTCAGTGAAAACATTTATTAGAATTTTTAATTTGTTCACAAACTGAAAATTTAGACGTTTTTCTGATTTTTGGAATGAAGAATTTGTGTTCACATTTTTTACTTTGGCTTTTCTGATCCAATGTTTATTTTCAGTTTTTTTTCTTCAAAATGAGCCGAAATTTTCAAAATTTTTGAGGGGAAACTTTCGGTTAGAGTTTATATTTTGTTCACAAACTGTAATTTTGTGAATTTGCAAGAGTTTTTGAGTACATTTTTAGACAGATTTCAGCTTTTCCGATTTGAAATATTTTCAGCTTGTTCTAAAATTTGCCGAAATTTTCAAAATTTTGGTGGCAAAAGATTCAGGAAAACATCTAAAATCTATCTTTTCTTCACAAACCACCAAAATTTAGTCGTTTTTTGTGATTTTTATGATCGACAAGAATTTTTCTTTACATTTTTGAAACTATTGTTTTCAGCTTTTCTGATTCCAAATATTCAAAATGTGCACAAATTTTCAAAATTTTTGTGCCGAAATATTCATTTAAAACAATTAAAATTTATATTTTCATCACAAACTCAAAATTTAGACATTTTTAGATTATACATATTATTATATTAGACAAATTATTATTATTTTGCCCTTTTTTTTTTTAATAATATATGTCGTCCTCTTTTCGTAACAAGAAACTTAAAACATGTTCAAAATGGTAAATTCTTGTAGGGAAACCTGGATTTTGCAATTACGCTCCGCCCCTCGGTCTGTCAGCGAATGAAAAATTCATCACAATTGAAATCGGGCGGGTGGGCGGGGCTTATATTTTTGTAGGAAAATCTAGATTTTGCAGTTACGCTCTGCCCCTCATTCTGACAGCGAATGAAAAATTCATCACAATGGAGATCGGGTGGGTGGGCGGGGCTTATGTTTTGCCCTTTTTTTACTTCTCGAGCTTAAGCAAAGGAAGTATTGTAATCGAGTTCGTCGGCCGACTCTCTACTTGTACGTTTCCTCGATCTTTCATGACCCCTAGAGTACGAAAAAATAGATTTTTATTAGACAGATAATCTCCGAAAGTACTGGGCCGATTGTTGTCAAATTTTGTATTTATATTAAGAATCTCATGTCAATAATGTGATGACGTCACTTCAAAATTGTACATAGTAAATGGGTTTTAAATAGTATAAAATAACATAGTCCTACACACGTACTTTATGACTCCGCCCACTATTTTCTCAGAGTTTGTCATTTGCCAAAATAAGTTTTCCCTTTGCAAGTCTAGCCCCGCCCACCCGCCCTCTACTTTCCCTGAGGGTATGACGTCTGCCAAAATCAGTCTTATCTGAGCAAGTGCTAGCCCCGCCCACCCACCCTCTATTTTTTCAGAGTTTGTCATTTGCCAAAATAAGTTTTACCTTGCTTCGATCTTCGAAAAAGACGTGCACGCTTTCTTCGTCGTTCTTCAGCAAGGAGGAAATTTGTTCAGCTGTGCACATCGAAAACATGCTGTAAATAGCAGCTTGGAGGACCATTTGAGGTCGCATAACGTCAATACCTCCCAGAAAATCGTCATAAGTGAGAATTGTAGCCACATCGTAGCCAAAATTTTCGACCAAGCGGGTTAGTTCGTCGTTGTGCACGCGTTTGAGGGCGTCGTCGTGCTTTAGTCGGATATCGCGCACTGTGGTCAGGTGCACCACCGACAAAAAATCGTGACCAGGGGGAGAATATCGCAACAATTGGTAGTCGACGAAGCTGCAGTCAACAGCTTTGTCGTTGTCGAACTTGAGCAAAATGTTGCTAGTCCACAAGTCGCCGTGGAGTAGAACAGCTTCATCATCTCGGGAAAAAATTTTGACAAGTTGTCTCGATTTTCGGGGGTTTGGAATTCCGGAAACAGAGTAGTGGCGTGGAGGACACCTCTAGCCCCATTTGCCATAAGTCTCCCGCCCCAATGGTCCTCCTCATCCAGAATATTGTCAGTTTCTCCAAAATGTGCCGAAATTTTCAAAATTTACACTTTTGGCATCTACAGGAATTATTCTTTATATGTATTTTAGATCTCTTTTTTCAAAATTTTGGATTTTAGATGTTCTTCAAAATGTGGCCAATTTTCCAAAATTTTGTTTCAATTAAACATTTCAAATGTATTATTTTGTTCACAAACTGTAAAAAAGTAAAGGTTTTTAGTGATTTTAGAGATCTGCCAGAATTTTTGTTTAAATTTTTAGACTGTTCTTTCGGCTTTTCTAATCCAATATTTTTATCAGCTTTTTCCAAAATGTGTCGAAATTTTCAAAATTTAGACATTTTTGTGAATTTTAGCGATGTACAAGAATTTTTATTTATATTTTTGACTGTTCGTGTCAGCTTTTCTGTTCCAAAATATTTTCAATTTTATCTAAAGTGGGCCGAAATTTTCAAAATTTAGACTATTGGGACCTACGGGAATTATTCTTTATATTTTAGATCTCTTTTCTCAAAATTTCGGATTTAAACTATTTTGGATTTCAGATGTTTTTCAAAATGTGCCGAATTTCTTGTAATTGATTTATAATTTATGATTTTGTTCACAAACTGTCAAAATTTAGGCTTTTTGCGATTTTTAGAGATCTACAAGTATTTTTGTTTAAATTTTTAGGCTGTTCTTTCGGCTTTTCTGATCCAATAATTTTTCAATTTTTCCGAAATGTGTCGAAATTTTTAAAATTTTTGAGCCGAAATATTCAGTGGAAGCATTTATTAGAATTTTTAATTTGTTCACAAACTGAAAATTTAGACGTTTTTCTGATTTTTGGAATGAAGAATTTGTGTTCACATTTTTTACTTTGGCTTTTCTGATCCAATGTTTTTTTTCAGGTTTTTTTCTTCAAAATGAGCCGAAATTTTCAAAATTTTTGAGGGGAAACTTTCGGTTAGAGTTTATATTTTGTTCACAAACTGTAATTTTGTGAATTTGCAGGAGTTTTTGAGTACATTTTTAGACAGATTTCAGCTTTTCCGATTTGAAATATTTTCAGCTTGTTCTAAAATTTGCCGAAATTTTCAAAATTTTGGTGCCAAAAGATTCAGGAAAACATCTAAAATCTATATTTTCTTCACAAACTACCAAAATTTAGTCGTTTTTTGTGATTTTTATGATCGACAAGAATTTTTCTTTACATTTTTGATACTATTGTTTTCAGCTTTTCTGATTTCAAATATTCAAAATGTGCACAAATTTTCAAAATTTTTGTGCCGAAATATTCATTTCAAACATTTAAAATTTATATTTTCATCACAAACTCAAAATTTTGACATTTTTAGATTATACATATTATTATATTAGACAAATTATATAATAATTTTAAAAATTGGAAAGTTAAAATATCGAAAAGTTGGAAATTTAAGAAATCGAAGTATAAAAGAGTCGAAAAATTGAAAATCCAACCAGTAAAAAGTCCAGAAATCGAAAAATCCAGAACTCGAAAAATGGAAAAGTCGAAATACTAAAAAATCCCAAAATATCGAAAAATTGAAAAATAGAAGAAAAATTGAAGAATCGAAGAATTGAAAAATCACAAAATTGGACGAAATATCCAAAAATTGGGAAATTAAAAAAATTGAAAAATTGGGAAATCGAAAATTTAAAAAAGCAATGTTGAAAAATCGCAAACTTAATCGAAAAATTGAAGAACTGAAGAACTGAAAAATTGAAACTTTGGGAAGTCCAGAAATGGGAAAATCAAAAAATTGACTAATTGAGAAATGGGAAAACTAAAAATTCAGAAACGTCAAAATTAAAAAAATTAAAAAATATTGAAGAACTGAAAAACCGAAAAATCTAAAAATCTAGAATTTAAAACATTGAAAAATTAAAATATCTTAAAATTGAAAAATGGACAAATCGAAACCTGAAAGTCATAAAAATAAAAATTTGAAAACCTAAAATTTAAAAATATAAGAACTGAAAAATCAACAAATCGAAACTCGAAAATTAAAAAAAAACTGGAAAATTGAAAAATCGGATAATTCGAAAATCGAAAGGCCGAAAAATTAAAAAAACGAAAAAACGACGAATCAAAAAATCATCAAAAAATTCAAAAACTGAGACATACAGAAATCGAAAAATCAAAAGATCGAGAAATCGACATATCCAAACGTCGAGAAGTCGAAAAATCGAAAAACTGAAAAATCAATGTTCAAAATGGAAGTTTAAAAGTGAAAGAAAATCGATCAATTGGAAAATTGAAAAAACGAAAATTCAAGAAATTGAACAATCAAAAGATCTAAACAGAAATTTTGATAAATCGCGAAATCGAAAACTGTAAAAAACGATAAATCAAAATTTTTTAACATCGAAAAATTGAGAAACCGAAAAATCTCAAAAACTGGGACATCGAGAAATCGAAAAATTAGAAGATCGAGAAACAAAATATCGAACCATCTGAATTTGATAAATCGGACAATTAAAAAATTGAAAAATCGACAAATTTTAAAAAGGAAATATTGGAAAATCGAATATTTAAAAATTGAAATATAGAGGAACTGAAAACTCGAGAAATCGAAAAACCTAGACTTTTAAAAAATGAAAAATGAAAACATCGAAAAGTTGAAAATTTGAGAAATCGAAGTATAAAACAGTGGAAAAATTGAAAAATCTGAAGTTTAACGAAAAATTGAAAATGCAAAAAATAAAATATCGACAAATATAAAAGATCCAAAAATCGAAAAGTCGAAAAATCCAAATATTGAAAAATCCCAGAACTGAAAGAGATGTCCAAAAAATTGAGAATTTAAAAATTGGAAAAGTGAGAAATCGAAAATCTGAAAAGCAAAGTCGAAAAATCGTAAGCTAAAAAAAATCGAAAAATCGAAAAATTGCAGAACTGAAAAAAATCGAAACTTTGGGAAATCGAGAAATGGGAAAATCAAAAATAGACTGAAAATTCAGAAACGTCAAACTTTAAAAAATCGAGATCTCAAAAAATTGAAAAAACGAAAATCCAAAAAACAAAAAATCCAAAAATCCAGAAGTCGAAAAAATCAAAATATTGGAAAATCCCAAAACTGAAAGAAATATCCGAAAATTGAGAAATTGAAAGACTGAAAAATCTAGAAATCGGAAAACCAAAAAAGCAAAGTCGAAAAATCGAAAAATTGAGGAACTGAAAATTCGAGAAATGGGAAAATCAAAAGTAGATTAATTGCGAAATCGGAAAACTAAATTCAACGTCAAAATTTAAAAATACTCAAGAACTGAAAAATTTAAAAATCGAGAAACCGAAAAATCTAAAATTTAAAACATTGAACAATTAAAATATCGCAAAATTGGAAAATGAACCCAAATTTTTCCAATTCAATTAATTCAAGTCAATTCAGAAGCATCAAAAGATCAAAAAATTAAAATTCGAAAATCTAAAATTAAAAAATTGAAAAACTGAAAAATCGACAAATCGAGAAATCCAAACTCCAGAATTTAAAAAACTGAAAAACTGAAAAATCGGATCATCGAAAAATTGGAAAGCGCAAAAGTAAAAAATCGAAAAACCGAGGATCCAAAAAATGAAACATAGAAAAATTGAAAAACTAAGATATCGAGAAATCGAGGTGTGGAAAGCCGTGTAGAAAAATTAAAAATTGAAAAACTGATAAATCGGGAAATTGAACAAACAAAACATCGAAACATCTGAATTCGATAAATCGGGAAATATAGAAGAAAAGAAAACTCGAGAAATCGAAAAACCTAGATTTTGAAAAAGTGAAATATAGATATAATGAAAACATCGAAAAGTTGAAAAATTGAGAAATCGAAGTATAAAACTGTGGAAAAATTGAAACATCTAAAATTTAACAAAAAATTGAAAGCCCAAAAAGTAAAAAATCGAGAAATCAAAAAATCCAGGACCCCAAAAATCCAAAAATCCCAAAACTCAAAGAGATATCAAAAAAATTAAGAATTTAAAAATTGGAAAAGTGAAAAATCGAAAATCTAAAAAGCAAAGTCGAAAAATCGTAAGCTAAAAAAATCGAAAAATTAAAAAATCAGAAAACCTGAAAAATCGAAAAATTGGAGAACTAAAAAAAAATCGAAACTTTGGGAAGTCGAGCAACGGGAAAATCAAAAAATAGACTAATTGAGAAATCGGGAGATTGAAAATTCAGAAACGTCAAAATAAAAAAAAAATTAACATACTGAAGAAATGAAAACTCAAAAAATCTAAAATTTTAAACATTGAAAAACTAAAATATCGTAAAATTTAAAATATTGAAAAATTAAAATATCCTAAAATCAAAAAATAATAAAAATAGAAATTCGGAAATCTAAAATTTAAAAATCGAAAAACTGAAAATTCAACAAATGGAGAAATCGAAACTCGAATTTAAAAAAATCGGATAATTCAAAAATCGAAAAGCCGAAAAATTAAAAATCGAAAAACTGACAAATAGAAAAATCGGAACATCTAAAAATTCAAAAACTGAGACATCGAAAAGTCGGAAAAACAAAAGATCGAGAGATCGAGGAGTCGAAAAGTCAAGAAGTCGAAAAATCGAAAAATTGAAATATTGAAAAATCGCAAAACTGAAAGAAATATCCACAAAAAATGAGAATTTAAAAAGTTGGAAAACGGAGAAATCGAAAAACTAAAAAGCAAAGTCGAAAAATCGTAAGTTTAAAAAAATCAAATAACTGAAAAATCGAAAAATTGAAGAACTGAAAAAAATCGAAAGTCTAAAAATGGGAAAATAAAAAAAACTTTTGTTCAAAAATCGGAAAACTGAAAATTTAGAAACGTCAAAATTTGAAAAATCAAAAAATCGTAAAATAAAGTGGATCAAAATGGGGAAAGCGTATCATTGAAACACCGGAAAATTGAGAAATCGAGAAATCGAAAATTTGAAAAATCGAAAAATTGAAAAATCCCAAAATTGAAATATTGAAAAATTGAGATATCTAAAGTTGGCTATAAGTTGGAGAACATCGGTAATTTTTTTTCCAAAAAGCATGAAGTCTTAACAACTCAACACGGATTCATAAACCACAAATGGAGGATATAAAATTTAAATTACATTTATTATTGTAAAATTTGAAGATTACGTCTTCTCATTCACAAATTTTGTTTAGCGTTTTATCATTTGATAATACAATTTGAAATGTTGGCCGTAGATCTTCGTAGACGGCTAGGTTGTGCTTACTGAGATAGAGTTTCGGGGAAAAATTGTGTCCAAATTGGTTAGGTGCGAGTGGATAGGCAACATTTACTACACGCTTGGTTTTATTAGGAATCAGTGTACATAGAATTACAATAATCATAAATATCCAAAATACATTCTTTCACCCTATTTCTATACAAAGTGGATTTTCCACACATCGCAGTAATAAACCCGGTACGATCTTCGAAATAGACGTACCGACATTGCTCTTCGTTGTTCAAAAATTCTGAAATTTCTTCAGGTGTGCACATGGTAAGAACGCAATCAATAGCGGCTTGTAGTACCATTTGGGGTTTCATGTATTTAATACACCCTATGTAGTCCTCGTATGGGTAAACCTTGTCAACTGAGTACCCATACGACTTCAAAACTCTCCCCAGTTCGTCGTAGTAAATTTGGATCAAGTCGTCTTCATGTTTCAATCTAGTACTACGATCCGTGGTTAAATGAAGCACTGAAAGAATATCATAAGCAGGTGGACTGTATCTAACGATTTGAAAATCAATCAAAACACAGTCGGTTGGTTTATCGTCTTGAAGTTGTACCATCATGTTGCTAGTCCATAGATCACCATGACACAAAACGTTGCGAAAACGATCAGACGGTCTGATAACTGTGTAAAACAACTCCTTCAGTTTTGGCCAGAAGTTGCGAAAGTTGCGTTGATTCTGTTCAGTTTGAACTTCTTTCAACAACTCGGTAGCTGTCACAACCGATTTCATTCCAATTATGAATGATAGTGCTCCTTTGTGTTGATCGTTGTCCAAAAAAAGTGGTTCTGTGAAATGTGGACGGTACTCGTCGATCAAGCGGTACGGTTGACCCTTTTCTGCAGACACTTTTTCTTCAAGAATCAACGAACAAGCGTGGAATTTTGCCAACTTCTGGATGAGCAAACGCAAATAGGGAAAACCTAGAGGTTTCAACGCATTTACATTTTGATAAGTGAAAGACAGGTCTTCGAACACCATGAATTCTTTGGGTCTGTAGAAGTAGCACCGAGGTGTACACTCATTAATAGTCGTGATTCCGTACTTCTTCATTTGTTGGACGAGGGTTGTATACATGAAGACTTCTCTGGAGAAACTATCAACATCTGTGGCGATTTCCAACGGAATTCCGGTTTTGGGTGTGCATTTGATGAAGGCGTTAATTGTACTTTGGTCGATTTTGATCTCGACTCGGTGGTACTCGCCCAAAAACCCACTAACATCACTCAGCGGTGTCACTTGATAAGACACAAACTTGTAGTTCTTCGTTCCAATTTTATTTTCAACAATCACGTAGCAATCTTCTTTGGAAAGCAACGGATAAGCTAGACTTTCTTTCAATTCTTGTACACTAGTCTCGTTTTGGTGGTGAAGCGCAGCTTGTAATTTAACCACAGGTAGATAATAATGGGCACTTAATCGAAAATCGTCGACAGTGACGTCCAAGTCACCCTTCGTCGTTTCTTCTTTCAAACACTCATAGTAATAATCGAGCAAAGCCTGGAAGTGACTCTGTCTCAAATCTTCGCTCGTATTGAAGAAAATCAACTGAAGAACGTCGTAGATTGGAGGTACGCAGAAATTAGCTTTGAAATTCAACAATCTACACTCAGTCGGAGCTCCTTTGTCGTTTTTGAACATCAAGTTTCGATTAGTCAGGTTGCCGTGACACAGAGTTCGTCTGAATTTCGACTCGAGTTGCTTTTGGCGCAGATTTTTGATGGTTTTGGACACCTGGGCTTCATTTTCTAGCAGCGACGACAACAAACTTGTGACCGCGGGTGACGATAGATCAAAATTCGAGTGATCTAGCTCAGAGACGAAGTTTATTGCATGGAACGCCGCCAATGTTTTTAGAACGATTTGTAGCTCTTCGGTGTTCAGTAGGCGTCCACGGTTTTCAAAATTTTGCCCTAGATGTTCATAGACGGCTAGGTTGTCTTTTTTGAGGTAGAGTTTCGGGGAAAAATTTGTGTCCAAGGTTTGCGCTACGTTTGGACCCGTTTTGACAAAAAATGACACACTTTTGGCTACTTGTTTCTCGTAGATGTTGATCTTGAGTTCGAAGTTTTCGCCCCCTAGTAGTTGTAGTGCGAAGTCGGAGACAATAACGTCGTTAGTGTTAAGGTGTTTTTTGACTATGAGGTCACACTCGTCGCGGGTTAGTGTGGTCATTTTTGACACAGTTTGGTTTTTAAAAATTCACTGAAATAATTGGAAACGTGGTAAATAAATGAACCACAATGAACTGAGTTTGCGATAGATAAATTACCTTTGAGTGGCGATAACGGGGATCATGATAATAACACATGAATCAGTTGTTACTAGCCTAGAATTGTTGAAGTGTTAATTTGTGTGCACTAACGGGTCCGCATTCCACGAACCACATCACTGATTAAAATGAGGTTTACTTTCACTTGGTTAGGTGTGAGTGGGTAGGCAACATTTACTACACGCTTGGTTTAAGAGAATAAACACACATAAAAATAATCAGATGCAGAAAATGTATTTATTAGGAATTAGTTTACATAGAATTACAATAATCATAACTATCCAAAATATACTCTTTCAATCTACTTCTATATAAATCCGATTTTTCGCACATCGCGATCACAAACTCGCTACGATCTGACGTACCGTCATTTTTTTGTTTAACTAAGAATTAAGTCTTTAATTGTAAATTGAACAATCGGATCATTTAAAAATTGAAACATGGAAAAAATGGAAAATCGAAAATTTAAATATTCCGAAAATTTTAAAAATTGAAAAGTTAAAATATCGAAAAGTTGAAAATTTGAGAAATTGAAGTATAAAAGAGTCGAAAAATTAAAAACCTAAAGTTTAAAAACTTAAAAAGCCGAGAAATCGAAAAATCCAGAACTCGAAAAATGGAAAAGTCGAAATACTAAAAAATCCCAAAACTGACATCTCGAAAAATTGAAAAATAGAAGAAAAATTGAAGAATCAAAATACTGGAAAATCACAAAATTGGACGAAATATCCTAAAATTGGAAGACTAAAAGATTGAAAAATTGGGAAATCGAAAATTCAAAAAAGCAAAAAATCGAAAATTTAAAACATTGAAAATTAAAATATCTTAAAATTGAAAAATGGAGAAATCGAAACATCAAAAAGTCATAAAAATAAAAATTCGAAAGTCTAAAATTTAATAATCGAAAAACTGAAAAATCAACAAACCGAAGATCGAAACCCGAAAATTAAAAAAATTGGAAAATTGAAAAATCGGATAATTCAAAAATCGAAACATCGGAAAATTTAAAAGCTGAGACATCCAGAAATCGAAAAATCATCAAAAGATCGAAAAATTGAGAAGACGCAAATTCGAAAAATTGAGAAAAACGAAATAAGCCAAAATCGAAAAATCGAAAAGTTAAAAATGGAAAAATTGATAAATCGAGAGATTGAATAACAATCAAAACATCAAAACATACAGTTCTCGATAAATCGAGATCTCAAAAAATTGAAAAAACACAAATTTAAAGATTCGGAAAATGTAAAAATTAAAATATAGAACAACTGAAAACTCGAAAAATTGAAAAGTCTAAATTTTAAAAAACGAAAAACTCAAAATCCAAAAAATAAAAAATCGAAAAATCCAGAAGTCGAAAAATCATTATGTTGGAAAATACAAAAATTGAGAAATTAAAAAATTGGAAAATTGAGAAATGGAGAAACCAAAAAAGCAAAGTCGAAAAAGCGAAAAACTGAAGAACTGAAAAATCAAAAAATTGGGAAATCGAAAAATCTTAAATTTAAAACATTGAATAATTGAAATATCGCAGAATTGAAAAATGGATCCAAATTTTTCCAGCATCAAAAAATCAAAAAATTAAAATTCGAAAATCAAAATTTTAAAAATCGAAAAACTGAAAAATCGACATCTAGAAATCGAAACTCCAGAATTTAAAAAATTGAAAAATGGAAAAATCGGATCATCGAAAAATTAGAAGGTCCAAAAGTAAAAAATCGAAAAACCGAGAAATCCAAAAATCGAAACATAGAGAAATTGAAAAAGTTAGACATCGAGAAATCCAAAAATCAAAGAATCGAGAAATCGAGGAGTGGAAAGCCGTGTAGAAAAGTTAAAAATTTAAAAATTGATAAATCGAGAAATTGAACAAACAAAATATCGAAACATCGGAATTCCATAAATCGGGAAATTAAAAAATTGAAATTGAAAAATTTTAAAAAAGAAATATTGCAAAATCGAAAAACCTAGAATTTTAAAAAGTGAAAAATGTAAACATCGAAAAATTGAGAAACCTAAACTTTAACGACAAATTGACAATTCAAAAGGAAAAATCGAGAAAGCAAAAAATCCAGGACTCCAAAAGTCGAAAAGTCGAAAAATCGAAATATTGAAAATCCCAGAACTGAAAGAGATATCCAAAAAATTGAGAATTTAAAAATTGGAAAAATGAGGAATCGAAAATCTAAAAAGCAAAGTCGAGAAATCGTAAGCTAAAAAAAATCGGACAATCTGAAACAAAAATATCTCTGATATTCTGATAAATCGAGAAATCGAAAACTGTAAAAAGCGATAAATCAAAATTTTTGAAGATCTAAAAATTGAAAAACCGAAAAATCTCAAAAACTGGGACATCGAGAAATCGAAAAATCGGAGGATCGAAAAATCGAGGAGTGGAAAGCCGTGATGAAAAGTTAAAACTTGATAAATTGAAAAATTGAACAAACAAAATATCGAATTCGATAAATCGGACAATTAAAAAATTGAAAAATCGACAAATTTTAAAATGAAATATTGGAAAATCTAATATTTAAAAATTGAAATATAGAGGAACTGAAAACTCGAGAAATCGAAAAACCTAGACTTTTAAAAAGGGAAAAATGAAAACATCGAAAAGTTGAAAAATTGAGAAATCAAAGTATAAAACAGGGGAAAAATTGAAAAATCTAAAGTTTAACGAAAAATTGAAAATGCAAAAAGTAAAATATCGAGAAATCAAAAAATCCAGGAGTCCAAAAACCGAAAAGTCGAAAAGTCGAAAAATCGAAATATTGAAAAATCCCAAAACTGAAAGAGATTTTCAAAAAATTGAGAATTTAAAAATTGGAAAAGTGAGAAATCCAAAATCTAAACAGCAAAGTCGAAAAATCGTAAGCTAAAAAAATCAAAAAATTGAAAAATCAAAAAACCTGAAAAATCGAAAAATTGAAGAACTGAAAACAAAATCAAAAGTTTGGGAAGTCGAGAAACGGGAAAATAAAAAAAAAGACTAATTCAGAAACGTCAAAATTTAGAAAATTAAAAAATATTGAAGAACTGAAAAATCGAAAAATCTAAAATTTATAACATTGAAAAATTAAAATACCGTAAAATTTTAAATATTGAAAAATTAAAAAATCGTAAAACTGAAAAACCTACAAATCGAGAAATCGAAATTCGAAAATTTAAAAAATTGGAAAATTGAAAAATCGGATAATTCAAAAATCGAAAGACCGAAAAATTAAAAATCGAGAAAACGAGGAACCAAAAAATCGGAACATCGAAAAATTCAAAAACTGAGACATCGAGAAATCGAAAAATCAAAAGATTGAGAAATTGAATAGTTGAAAAGTGAAGAAGTCGAAAAATCAAAAAATTGAGAAACCGAAATAGGCCAAAATGGAAAAATTGTTAAATCGCGAGACTGAACAATCAAACCATCGATAAATCGAGAATAATTGAAAAATCTGAAGTTTAAAAAACAAAAAACTGAAGTCCATAAAATAAAAAATCGAAAAATCCAGAAGTCGAAAAATCGAAAATACGGAGAATCACAATATTGGAAAATAGGAAAATACCAAAACTGAAAGAAACATCTAAAAATTGAGAAATTAAAAAATTGGAAAATTGAGAAATCGAAAAACCAAAATGGCGAAATCGAAAAATTGAAGAGCTGAAAAATCGAAACATTGAAAAGTCGACAATTGGGAAAATCAAAAACAGATTAATTGAGAAATCGGAAAACTGAATATTTAGCAACGTCAAAGTTTGGAATATGTATTGAAAAATAGAAATACTGAAGAACAGAAAAATAAAAAAATCTGAAATTTAAAACTTTGAATAATTAAAATATCGCAAAATTGAAAAATGGATCCAAATTTTTAAAAGCATCAAAAAATCAAAAAATTAAAATTCGAAAATCTAAAATTTAAAAACCGAAAAACTGAAAAATCGACAAATCGAGAAATCAAAACTCCAGAATTTAAAAAATTGAAAAATCTAAAAATTGGAAAAATCGAAAATTTAGAATTTCGGAAAATTGATAAATTGAAATATAATAGAACTGGAACCTCGAGAAATCGAAAAACCAAAAATTTTAAAAAGTGAAAAATGAAAAGTTAAAAATTAAGAAATCGAAGTATAAAACAGTCGAAAAATTGAAAAATCTAAAGTTTAACAAAAATTCAAAATCCAAAAAGTAAAAAAATTGGGAATTTAATAAGTTGGAAAAGTGGGAAATCGAAAAACTAAAAAGCAAAGTCGAAAAATAGTAAGCTTAAAAAAACGAAATATTGAAAAATCAAAAAAACCTGAAAAATCGAAAAATTGACAAATTAAAAAATTGGAAAATTGAGAAATCGAAAAATCGAAGAATTGAAGAACTGAAAAATCGAAAGATTGAAAAGTCCACAATTGGGAAAATCAAAAATAGATTAATTGAGAAATCGGAAAACTGAATATTTAGCAACGTCAAAGTTTGAAATATGTATTGAAAAATGGAAATACTGAAGAACAGAAAAATAAAAAAATCTGAAATTTAAAACTTTGAATAATTAAAATATCGCAAAATTGAAAAATGGATCCAAATTTTTAAAAGCATCAAAAAATCGAAAAATTAAAATTCAAAAATCTAAAATTAAAAACCAAAAAACTGAAAAATCGACAAATCGAGAAATCAAAACTCCTGAATTTAAAAGATTGAAAAATCGGAACATGGAAAAATTGAAAAACCCAAAAGTAGAAAATCCAAAAATTGAAACATAGAGAAATTAAAAAACTGAGAGAAAAATCAGAGGATCGAGAAATCGAGGAGTAAAAAGCCGTGAAGAAAAGTTAAAAATTGAAAAATTGATAAATCGAGAAATTGAACAACCAAAACATCGAAACATTTGAATTCGATAAGTCGAGAAATCAAAAAATTTAAAAATCGGAAAATTGTAAAAAAGAAAAATTGGAAGAATCGAAAATTTAAAATTTCGGAAAATTGAAAAATTGAAATATAATAGAACTGAAACCTCGAGAAATCGAGAAACCTAGAATTTTAAAAAGTGAAAAATGAAAAGTTAAAAATTGAGAAATCGAAGTATAAAACAGTCGAAAAATTGAAAAATCCAAAATTTAACAAAAGATTCAAAATCCAAAAAGTAAAAAAAATTGAGGTATTTTAATAAGTTGGAGAAGTGAGAAATCGAAAAACTAAAAAGCAAAATCGAAAAATCGTGAGCTTAAAAAAATCGAAAAATTGAAAAATCAAAAAACCTGAAAAATCGAAAAATTGAAGAATTAAAAAAAATGAAACTTTGAGATATGGGAAATTAAAAAAAATAAAACACCGGAAAATTGAAAATCGAAAAATAAAAAATCGAGAAATCGAAAATTTCAAGAATGGAAAAATTGAAAAAACCCAGAATTGAAAATTTGAAATATTAAAAAATTCAGACAACTAAAGTTGAAAAATAGAGAAAAGCCGAAAAACCTCAATAGCGTATTTTTAAATCAGAAGTTCAGGACTATGCTACTTCTGAACATTTAAATAACATTTATTCGACAATTCGAATATCTACTATTGTAAAATTTGGAGATTACGTCATTTCATTTTTATGAGCGTTTTACCATGTGATAATACAATTTGAAATGTAAATTTTCTCATTTTGCAAAAACTGACGAAACAAAAAACAGAAAAATTGAAAAATTCAAGTCAAAAAGCTGAGGGAGTGTTATACAACAATCACAAACAACTTTTATAACTTTTAATAATATTAAATAAATGATACAAACAAAATAAGTCAGATTTATTTACCACACATAGAATTACAGTAATCATAAATATCCAAGATACATTCCTTCAGTCTGTTTCTATACAACTCAGATTTTTCACACATGACCGTCATAAACTCGGTGCGATCTCCAAAAAACATTTGGTTTAATGCTTCTTCATCGCTCACAAAGGCCGAAATTTCTTCGGGAGTGCACATGGTCTGCGTACATTCGTACGCCGCATGCATCAACATATGAGGCCTGATATAATTAAGACACTCCAGAAAATCCCCATACGAATAAAAATCCCCAACATCGACCCCATACGACTTCAGAATCCGCCCCAATTCATCGTAGTAAGTTCGAACGAGTTCATCTTCATACTTCAGTCTTGTGGAACGATGTGTGGTTAAATAAAGCACCGAAAGCAGATCATAAACAGGAGGACAATATCTAACAATTTGGAAATCAAACAAGACACATTTGGCAGCTTCGCCGTCTTCGTATTTGACCATCATGTTGCTGGTCCACAGATCTCCATGACACAACACGTTCCGAAAACGGTCCGAGGGTCTGGCCACTGTGTAGTACAACTCTCTGAATTTGGCCAAAGTGAGTCAAAGTTGCGTTGGTTTGTTGGGGTTTGGATGTCTGGTAAGAGTTTGACGGCGGCTAGGACTGCTTTGAGTCCAGTTGCTGACTGTCTGGCACCTCTGTGTTTCTCGTCCTCGAAGAACAGGGGTTCGGTGAAATATTCTTTGTAGGAGTTGTACAAAGAGTAGGGTTTTCCTTCATTTTGAGAGATTTTTTCTTCAAGAAGGAGAGAACAAGCGTGAAATTTGGCCAACGTTTTGACCAACAAAGTGAGCATGTTGAAATTTAGAGGTTCCATAGCGTCTAAATTTTGGTAGCCGAGAAGAGCCATGTCTTCAAAGAGCATGAACTCTTTGGGTCTGTAAAAGTAGCATGGTGGTATACAGTCGTTGATGATGTTGATTTCGTGGTTTAGCATTTGTGCGACTATTGTTTCATAGACGAAGAATTCTCTTGAAAAACTGTTAAGATCGTTGGCAATGTCCATAGAAATACCGAGTCTTGGGACTGATTTAATGAAGCAATTGACAGTCGTTTCGTCCAACTGAAGACGAATTTTGATCTGTAGTTTGTGGTATTGACCCAAAAATCCACTAACATCACTCAGCGGTGTCACTTTATAACACAGAAACTGGTAGTTGGTAGTTCTGATTTTATTTTTGACAATCACATAACAATCTTCTTTGGAAAGCAACGGATAAGCTAGACTTTCTTTCAATTCTTGTACACTAGTCGCGTTTTGGTGGTGAAGCGCAGCTTGTAATTTAACCACAGGTAGATAATAATGGGCACTTAATCGAAAATCGTCGACAGTGACGTCCAAGCCACCCTTCGTCGTTTCTTCTTTCAAACACTCATAGTAATAATCGAGCAAAGCCTGGAAGTGACTCTGCCTCAAATCTTCGCTCGTATTGAAGAAAATCAACTGAAGAACGTCGTAGATTGGAGGTACGCAGAAATTAGCTGTGAAGTTCAACAATCTACAATCAGTCACAGCCCCTTTGTTGTTTTTGAACATCAAGTTTCGATTAGTCAGGTTGCCGTGACACAGAGTTCGTTTGAATTTCGACTCGAGTTGTTTTTGGCGCAGATTTTTGATGGTTTTGGACACCTGGGCTTCATTTTCTAGCAGCGACGACAACAAACTTGTGACCGCGGGTGACGATAGATCAAAATTCGAGTGATCTAGCTCAGAGACGAAGTTTGATGCATGGAACGCCGCCAATGTTTTTAGAACGATTTGTAGCTCTTCGGTGTTCAGTAGGCGTCCACGGTTTTCAAAATTTTGCCCTAGATGTTCATAGACGGCTAGGTCGTCTTTTTTGAGGTAGAGTTTCGGGGAAAAATTTGTGTCCAAGGTTTGCGCTACGTTTGGACCCGTTTTGACAAAGAATGTCACACTTTTGGCTACTTGTTTCTCGTAGATGTTGATCTTGAGTTCGAAGTTTTCGCCCCCTAGTGGTTGTAGTTCGAAGTCGGAGACAATAACGTCGTCAGTGTCAAGGTGTTTTTTGACTATGAGGTCACACTCGTCGCGGGTTAGTGTGGTCATTTTTGACACAGTTTGGTTTTTAAAAAGTCACTGAAATAATTGGAAACTTGGTAAATAAATGAACCACAATGAACTGAGTTTGCGATAGATAAATTACCTTTGAGTGGCGATAACGGGGATCATGATAATAACACATGAATCAGTTGTTACTAGCCTAGAATTGTTGGAGTGTTAATTTGTGTGCATTAGCGGGTCCGCATTCCACGAACCACATCACTGATTAAAATGAGGTTTACTTTCACTTGGTTAGGTGCGAGTGGGTAGGCAACATTTACTACACGCTTGGTTTGAAGAGAATAAACACACAAAAATAACTATCCAAAATACACTCCTTCAATCTTGTCAACGGAGTACCCATGCGACTCCAAAACTCTCCCCAGTTGGTCTTAGTACCACGATCCGTCATTAAATGAAGCACAGAAAGTAGATCATAACTATATCTAAAGCAGAGAAATTTGGCATTATATCGTCGCCTGAGAACTTGTTTGATCCACAGACCGGAGCGCGCTCAAGCCAAAGTCGACTTTAAGCGTTTAGAATTTCTGCGGGAAATAGTTATATTAGATGCTTTTATTTACAAACATAATATCACACCTCACATGTTTCACTCGATTTTGACGTTCAACTATTTTTTCGTTTAACTAAGAATTAATTCTTTAATTGTGAATTGAACAATCGGATAATTGGAAAATCGAAAATTGAAAAGTTGAAAAACAGAAAGTTTATAAAACGAAAAATTGTAAAACCAAAAAGTAAAAAGTCGAGAAATCGAAAAATCCAAAAGTCGAAATACTAAAAAATCTCAAAACTTGAAAAATAGAAGAAACATTGAAGAATCGGAAAGCTAAAAACTTACAAAATTGGACGAGATATCCAAAAATTAGGAAATTAAAAAAAATGAAAAATCGAAAAGTCAAAAGCAAAGTTGAAAAATTGTAAATTTAATCGAAAAAATGAAGAACTGAACAGAAAAATTGAAATTTTGGAAAGTCCAGAAATGGGAAAATCAAAAAATAGACTAATTGAGAAATCGGATGATTATTGAATTAGTCTGACTTCAGAAACGCCAAAATTTAAAAATGTTGAACTAAAAAACCGAAAAATCTAAAAATCTAGAATTTAAAACACTGAAAAATAGGGAAATCATAAAAATAAAAATTCGAAAATATAAAATTCAACAAATCGGGAAATCAAAACTCGAAAATTTAAAGAAATTGGAAAATTGAAAAATCGGATAATTCAGAAATCGAAATATGGAAAAATTCAAAAACTGAGACACCGAGAAATCGAGAAATCGAGGAGTCGAAAAGTCGAGAAGTCGAAAAATCGAAAAATTGAGAAATCGAAATAGACCAAAATCCAAAAGTTAAAAATGGAAAAATTGATAAATTGAGAGATTAAGCAATCAAAACATCGAAACATCCGATTCTCCATAAATTGAGATTTCAAAAATTATGTTGAAAAACCCCAAAACTGAAAGAAATATCCAAAAATGTGAGAATTAAAAAAATTGGAAAACTGAGAAATCGGAAAACTAAAAAGCAAAGTCGAAAAGTTGTAAGCTAAAAAAATCAAAAAACCTGAAAAATCGAAAAATTGAAGAAATGAAAAAATCGAAACTTGGGGAAGTCGAGAAATGGGAAAATCAAAAAATAGACTAATTGATAATTGGGAGGACTGGAAATTCAGAAACGTCAAAATTTAAAAAATTAAAAAATATTAAAGAACTGAAAAATCGAAAAATCGAGAAATCGAAACTCGACAATTTAAAAAATTGGAAATTTCAAAAATCGATAATCCGAAAAATTAAAAATTGCAAAATCGACGAATCAAAAAATGGGAACATCGAGAAATTCAAAAACTGAGACATCGAGATATCGAAAAATCAAAAGATCGAGAGTCGAAAAGCCGAATAATTGGAAAACCGAAATAGGCCAAAATCGCGAAATCGAAAAGTTAAAGATGGAAAAATTGATAAATCGAGAGATTGAGCAATCAAAACATCGAAGCATGCGATTTTCGATAAATCGAGATCTTAATAAATTGAAAAAATTAAAATTTAAAAATTCGGAAAATTGAAAAATTAAAAAAATTAGAAGAACTGAAAACTCGAAGAATCTAAATTTTAAAAAACGAAAAATTCAAAATCGCAAAATCCAGAAGTCGAAAGAATCAAAATATTGGAAAATCCCAGAACTGAGAGAAATATCCAAAAATTGAGAAAATAAAAATTTGAAAAAATTGAGAATTCGAAAAACCAAAAAAGAAAGTCGAAAAATCGAAATATTGAAGAACTGAAAAGTCGGGAAATGGGAAAATTACAAATAGATTAATTGAGAAATCGGAACACTAAATATTTAGCAACGTCAGAATTTGAAAAATTGAAAAATAGAAGTACTGAAGAACTGGAAAATAAAAAAATCGAGAAATCAAAAAATTAAAATTCGAGAATCTAAAATTTAAAAATCGAAAAACTGAAAAATCGACAAATCGAAAAATCGAAACTCCAGAATTTAAAAAATTGAAAACTAGAAAAATCGGAACATCGAAAAATTCAAAAACAGAGACATCCAGAAATCGAAAAATCAGAGGATTGAGAAATCGAGGAGTCGAAAGCCGTGAAGAAAAGTTAAAAATTGAAAAATTGATAAATCGGGAAATTGGACAAACAAAACATCAAAATATCTGAATTCGATAAGTCGAAAAATCAAAAAATTGAAAAATTAAAAACTTTTAAAAAAGAAAAATTGAAATAATCGAAAATTTAAAAATTCGGAAAATTGAAAAATTGAAATATAGAACAACTGAAAACTGGACAAATCGAAAAACCTAGAATTTTAAAAAGTGAAAAATGAGAACATCGAAAAGTTGAAAAATTGAGAAACCGAAATAGGCCAAAATCGAAGAATCGAAACATCGAGAAGTCGACAAATCTAAAATTTAAAACATCGAACAATTAAAATATCGGAAAATTGAAAAATGGATCCAAATTTTTCCACGCATCGAAAAATCAAAAAACTGAAATTCGAAAATGTAAAATTTAAAAATCGAAAAACTGAAAAATCGACAAATCGAGAAATCGAATCTCCAGAATTTAAAAAATTGAAAAATTGAAAAACCAGAATATCGAAAAATTGGAAAGTCGAAAAACTGAAAAGCTCAAAAGTAAAAAATCGAAAAACCGAGAAATCCAAAAATCGAAACATCGAAAAATTCGAAAACTGAGACATCGAGAAATCGAAAAATCAGAGGATCGAGAAATCGAGGAGTGGAAAGCAGTGAAGAAAAGTTCGATAAGTGGAGAAATCAAAAAATTGAAAAATCGATAATTTCACAATTCGGAAAATTGAAAAATTGTAATATAGAACAACTGAAAACTTGAGAAATCGAAAAACTCAGAATTTTAAAAAGTGAAAAATGATAACATCGAGAAGTTGAAAGATTGAGAAATCGAAATATAAAACAGTGAAAAAATTGAAAAATCTAAAGTTTAACGAAACATTGAAAATCCAAAAAGTAAAATACCGAGAAATCAAAAAATCCAGGAGTCCAAAAATCGAAAAGTCGAAAAATCGAAATATTGAAAAATTCCAAAACTGAAAGAGATTTCCAAAAAATTGAGAATTTAAAAATTGGAAAAGTGAGAAATCGAAAATCTAAAAAGCAAAGTCGAAAAATGGTAAGCTAAAAAAATCGAAAAATTGAAAAATCGAATAATTGAAGAACTAAAAAATCTACAACTTATACCATTGAAAAATTGAAAAATCAACAAATCAAGAAATCGAAACTCGAAAATTTAAAAAATTGGAAAACTGAAAAATCGGGTAATTCAAAAATCGAAAGGCCGATAAATTAAAAATCGAAAAAACGACGAATCAAAAAAAATCGAAAAATTAAAAAACTAAGACATCGAGAAATCGAAAAATCAAAAGATCGAGAGATTGGGGAGTCTAAAAGTGAAGAAGTTGAAAAATCGAAAAATTGAGAAACCGAAATAGGCCAAAATCGATCTAAAATGGAAAAATTGATAAATCGAGAGACTGAACAATCAAAACATCGAGATCTCAAAAAATTGAAAAAACGAAAATTTAAAAATTCGGAAAATTTCAAAAATTAAAATATAGAAGAACTGAAAACCCGAAGAAATGAAAAATCTGGAGTTTAAAAAACAAAATACTGAAAGTCCAAAAAATAAAAAATCGAAAAATCCAGAAGTTGAAAAATCGAAAAGTCGGAGAATCACAATAGTGAAAGATATAAAAACTGAAAGAAATATCTAAAAATTTAGAATTTAAAAAATTCGAAAAGTGAAAAATCGAAAAACCATAAAAGTGAAATCGAAAAATGGAACAATTGAAGAACTGAGAAATCGAAACATTGAAAAGTTGACAATTGGAAAAATCAAAAATAGATTAATTGAGAAATCGAAAAATCTAAAATTTAAAAGATTGAACAATTAAAATATCGCAAAATTGAAAAATGGATCCGAATTTTTCCAAGCATCGAAAAATCAAAAAATTAAAATTCGAAAATGTAAAATTTAAAACTCGAAAAACTGAAAAATCGAGAAATCGAATCTCCAGAATTTAAAAAATTGAAAAATTGAAAAATCGGAACATCGAAAAACTGTAAAATCCAAGAATTGAAAAACCCAAAAGTAGAAAGTCGAAACACCGAGAAATCCAAAAATCGAAAAATCGAAAAATTCGAAAACTGAGACATCGAGAAATCGAAAAATCAGAGGATCGAGAAATCGAGGAGTGGAAAGTCGTGAAGAAAAGTTCGAGAAATCAAAAAATTGAAAAATCGAAAAATTTTCAAAAAGAAAAATTAGAAAAATCGATAATTCCAAAATTCGGAAAATTGAAAAATTGAAATATAGAACAACTGGAAACTTGAGAAATCGAAAAATTCAAAATTTTAAAAAGTGAAAAATGAAAACATCGAGAAGTTGAAAAATTGAGAAATCGAAGCATAAAACAGTGGAAAAATTGAAAAATCTAAAGTTTAGCAAAAAATTGAAAATCCAAAAAGTAAAAAATCCAGGAGTCCAAAAATCAAAAAGTCGAAAAATCGAAATATTGAAAAATCCCAAAACTGAAAGAGATATCCAAAAATTTGAAAATTTAAAAATTGGAAAAGTGATAAATCGAAAATCTAAAAAGCAAAGTCAAAAAATCGTAAGCTAAAAAAAATTGAAAAATTGAAAAATCCAAAAACCTGAAAAATAGAAAAATTGAAAAACTGAAAAAATCTAAACTTTGCGGTAGTCGAGTAATGGGAAAATAAAAAAGATTAGTTCAAAAATCGGAAAACTGAATATTTACAAATGTCAAAATTTGAAAAATAAAAAAATCGTAAAATAAAATGCATATCATTGAAAAATTGAGGTTGTGCTTTCTGAGGTACCTATACTTTCGGGGAAAAAATTGTGTCCAAGGTTTGCGCTACGTTTGGCCCAGTTTTGACAAAAAATGACACACTTTTGGCTATTTATTTTCCCCAAATTCGTCACTCAGTCGGTACCGGTGACCCAACTCCTCCGACATTTTTTCTTCGTAGACGAAAGCACTGGCGTGGAATTTTGCCACCTTCTTGACGATCAAGCAAAGAGTGTCGAAGTCGTGGGGGTCTAAAGCTGACGTGACTTGGTAGTCGAGGGCGTTCATGTCTTCGAAAACTAGAATGTCGTTGGGTCTATGAAAATAGCACGGTGGTAGACAATCGGTGATCATGTTGATCCCGAGTTGTTCGAATTTGGGGATCAAGGTGTTGTAGACGAAAGCTTCCTTGACGAAACTGTTGCTATCGGAGACGACGTTCTTGGCTGCGGTTGACTTTGGTACACGTTTGACGAAGCAGTTGATATCAGCTTGGTGACGAAGTTTGATTTGTAGACGATAGTAGTCACCTAGAAAAGCACTGATCGAATCTATGTGTGTTACCTTGAACGATAATAGATGGTAGATCGTGGTTTTTAGTTTCTTGGCAATTATGGCGTAACAGTCTTGTCTTGACAATAAAGAAGACGTTAGGTCTTCTTTTAGTTCGTCGGGTGATACTAGTTGGTTGATTTGGAGACACTGCAGCTTTATTAGCGGTAGGAACTGGTGGATTTGCGCTTGCCACTCTTCTATGGTGACAATATCGTCAATCTTGACACCATAGTTGTTCAATTCTACATTTAGGCAGTCGTAATAGTAAGCTAAAAACGAGTGATAATAGTGTTGGCGCTGATCTTCACCACAGTTGAAGAAAATCGTCTGTAGAACGTCGACGGCTGGGGGCGCGTATGCTATGGACTCGAAATCGATCAATTTGCAGTCTGTGGGGTCTTTGAACATGACGTTGTCGAAAGTGACGTTGCCGTGGCACAACGCTCGTCTGAAAATCGTCGACGATTGACGATCCTCTAGATTTTTGACCACTTCTGACGAACCTAGAAGCGACGATATTAGTTTAGTAACCTCGGGTTTTTGCAAGTCAACGCTAGATGATTTGAGTTTGTAATCTTGGTTTAATCTGTAGACTTTTTGCGTCTGTTTGGTTTTAATTTCTTCGTAGGCGAAGCTCCCGGCGTGCAATTTTGCCAAAACTTTTAACACGGTTTTGACATGATCTGGAGCAAACGAGCTTTCTGGGTTATAGTTTTTGAAACCTTGCCACGACAAATCTTCGAAGACGAAAAAATCCGACTTGGTAAAATAGAGCTGGGGGGTGATCTTCGTGTCAAAATTCGGTACCGTGGTGTTGAATTCGTCCACAATGTGGTTAATAGTCGCGGATTGGTGGCCCGATTTTGCGAAAAAGTTCAACGTTTTGTTTGCTGTGGCGATTTCGACTAGGAAATTTTGTTTTTGTAAATTCACTACACTATAATCAAGGGTTTTTGCCGTTTCGGTTTGTAGACATTTTCGGACGATTATATCGCAGTCTTCGATTGTTAGGAGATTACTCATTTTGCAAGATAAAGGTGACTGAGAAGTAGATACAATAGACACTATTTATATACCGGTGGTGTAATTTATGGCTCGACAAATACTTAGAAAAATTATTCAAATGATAAAAGTGTCAAATCTTTGCAAACACCCATTGTTCTGACGCTACTTTTGATAAATATTGCACAATTGACGTATGTACTTTTGGGATGTTGTATGATTTATTAGTCAGTGTACACAGAATTACAATAATCATAAATATCCAAAATACATTCTTTCACCCTATTTCTATACAAAGTGGATTTTCTACACATCGCAGTAATAAATTCGGTACGATCTTCGAAATAGACGTACCGACACTGCTCTTCGTTGTTCAAAAATTCTGCAATTTCTTCAGGTGTGCACATGGTAAGGACGCAATCTATAGCGGCTTGTAGTACCATTTGGGGCCTCATATATTTAATGCACCCTATGTAGTCCTCATATGGGTAAACCTTGTCAATTGAGTACCCATAAGACTTCAAAACTCTCCCCAGTTCGTCGTAGTAAATTTGAATCAAGTCGCCTTCATGTTGAAAAATAGAAGAAAAGTTGAAGATTCGGAAAACTGAAAAATCACAAAAATTGGGAGATTAAAAAAATTGAAAAATTGGGAAATCCAAAATTCAAAAAAGCAAAGTTGAAAAATTGCCTACTTAATCGGAAAATTGAAAAATCAAAAACCTGATAAATCGAAAAATTGGAGAATAGAAGAACTGAAATATTGAAACTTTGGGAAGTTCAGAAATTGGAATTTAAAAAAATACTAATTGAGAAATCGGAAGACTGAAAATTCAGAAACGTCAAAATTTTAAAAATTAAAAAATATTGAAGAACCGAAAAATCAAAAAATAAAAAATTTGAAACATGGAAAAATTTAAAAAAATATCGTAAAATGGAAAAATCAAAAAATCATAAAAATAAAAATTCGAAAATCTAAAATTTAAAGATCGAAACACTGAAAAACCAACAAATCGTGAAATGGAAACTCGAAATTTAAAAAAATTGAAAAATCTGAAATTTAAAACATTGAACAATTGAAATATCGCAGAATTGAAAAATGAATCAAAAAATCAAAAAATTAAAATTCGAAAATCAAAATTTTAAAAACCGAAAAACTGAAAAATCGACAAATCGAGGAATCGAAACTCCAGAATTTAAAAAATTGGGAAATTGAAAAATCGGAACATCGAAAAATTGGAAAGCCCATAAGTAAAAAATCGAAATACCGAGATATTCAAACGTCGAGAAGTCGAAAAATCAAAAAACTAAGAAATCAGAAGTTCAAAATGGAAGTTTAAAAGTGAAAGGAAATCGATGAATTGGAAAATTGAAAAAACGAAAATTCGAGAAATTGAACAATCAAAAGATCTAAACAGAAATTTTGATAAATCGAGAAATCGAAAACTGTAAAAAACGATAAATCAAAATTTTTGATGGTTGAACAAACAAAATATCGAATCATCTGAATTTGATAAATCGGACAATTAAAAAATTGAAAAATCGACAAATTTTAAAAAGGAAAATCGAATATTTGAAAATTGAAATATAGAGGAACTAAAAACTCGAGAAATCGAAAAACCTAGACTTTTAAAATATGAAAAATGGAAACATCCAACAGTTGAAAATTTGAGAAATCTGAAGTTTAACGAAAAATTGAAAATCCAAAAAGTAAAATATCGAGAAATAAAAAAATCCAGGAGTCCAAAAATCGAAAAATCGAAAAATCCAAATATTGAAAAATCTCAAAACTGAGAGAGATATCCAAAAAATTGAGAATTTAAAAATTGGAAAAGTGAGAAATCGAAAATCTAAAAAGCAAAGTCGAAAAATCGTAAGCTAAAAAAAATCGAAAAATTGAAAAATGAAAAAACCTGAAAAATTGAAAAATTGCAGAACTGAAAAAAATCGAAACTTTGGGAAATCGAGAAATGGGAAAATCAAAAAATAAACTAATTGACAAATCGGAAGACTGAAAATTCAGAAACGTCAAACTTTAAAAAATCGAGATCTCAAAAAATTGAAAAAACGAAAACTGAGAAATTCGGAAAATTGAAAAATTAAAATACAGGAAAACTGAAAACTCGAAAAATCGGAAAATCTAAAGTTTAAAAAACGAATAACTGAAAATCCAAAAAATAAAAAATCGAAAAATCCAGAAGTCCAAAAAATCAAAATATTGGAAAATCTCAAAACTGAAAGAAATATCCAAAAATTAAGAAATCAAAAAATTGGAAAATTGGGAAATCGGAAAACCAGAAAAGCAAAGTCGAAAAATTGAAGAACTGAAAAGTTGAGAAATGGGAAAATCAAAAATAGATTAATTGCGAAATCGGAAAACTGAATTCAACGTCAAAATTTAAAAATACTGAAGAACTGAAAATTCATAAAAATCGAGAAATCCAAAAAACTAAAATTTAAAACATTGAACAATTAAAATATCGCAAAATTGGAAAATGGATCCAAATTGTACAAAAAATCAAAAAATTTAAATTCGAAAATTTAAAATTTAAAAATCGAAAAACTGAAAAATCAACAAATCGAAACTCCAGAATTTAAAAAATTGAAAAATTGAAAAATCGGAACATCGAAAAATTCTGAGAAATACAAAAATCGAAACTTAGAAAAATTGAAAAACTCAGACATCGATAAACCGAAAAATCAAAGGATCGAGAAATCGAGGAGTGGAAAGCCGTGTAGAAAAGTTAAAAATTGAAAAATTGATAAATCGAGAAATTGAACAAACAAAGCATTGAAACATCTGAATTCGATAAATCGGGAAATATAGAAGAAAAGAAAACTCGAGAAATCGAAAAACCTAGAATTTGAAATATAGATATAATGAAAACATCGAAAAGTTGAAAAATTGAGAAATCGAAGTATAAAGCAGTGGACAAATTGAAACATATAAAATTTAACAAAAAATTGAAAGTCCAAAAAGTAAAAAATCGAGAAATCAAAAAATCCAGGACCCCAAGAATCCAAAAATCCCAAGACTCAGAGATATAAAAAAAATGAGAATTTAAAAATTGGAAAAGTAAAAAATCGAAAATCTAAAAAGCAAAGTCGAAAAATCGTAAGCTAAAAAAATCGAAAAATTAAAAAATCAGAAAACCTGAAAAATCGAAAAATTGGAGAACTGAAAAAAAATCGAAACTTTGGGAAGTCGAGCAACGGGAAAATCAAAAAATAGACTAATTGAGAAATCGGGAGATTGAAAATTCAGAAACGTCAAAATAAAAAAAAAATTAACATACTGAAGAAATGAAAAATCAGAAAATCTAAAATTTTAAACATGAAAAATTAAAATATCGTAAAATCAAAAAATAATAAAAATAGAAATTCGGAAATCTAAAATTTAAAAATCGAAAAACTGAAAAATCAACAAATGAAGAAATCGAAACTCGAATTTAAAAAAATCGGATAATTCAAAAATTGAAAAGCCGAAAAATTAAAAATCGAAAAACCGACAAATAGAAAAATCGGAACATCGAAAAATTCAAGAACTGAGACATCGAAAAATCGGAAAAACAAAAGATCGAGAGATCGAGGAGTCGAAAAGTCAAGAAGTCGAAAAATCGAAAAATTGAAATATTGAAAAATCGCAAAACTGAAAGAAATATCCACAAAAAATCAGAATTTAAAAAGTTGGAAAACGGAGAAATCGAAAAACTTAAAAGCAAAGTCGAAAAATCGTAAGTTTAAAAAAATCAAATAACTGAAAAATCGAAAAATTGAAGAACTGAAAAAAATCGAAACTTTGGGAAGTCTAAAAATGGGAAAATAAAAAAAACTTTAGTTCAAAAATCGGAAAACTGAAAATTTAGAAACGTCAAAATTTGAAAAATCAAAAAATCGTAAAATAAAGTGGACAAAAATGGAGAAAGCGTATCATTGAAACACCGGAAAATTGAGAAATCGAGAAATCGAAAATTTGAAAAATCCCAAAATTGAAATATTGAAAAATTGAGATATCTAAAGTTGGCTATAAGTTGGAGAACATCGGTAATTTTTTTTCCAAAAATCATGAAGTCTTAACAACTCAACACGGATTCATAAACCACAAATGGAGGATATAAAATTTAAATTACATTTATTATTGTAAAATTTGAAGATTACGTCTTCTCATTCACAAATTTTGTTTAGCGTTTTATCATTTGATAATACAATTTGAAATGTTGGCCGTAGATCTTCGTAGACGGCTAGGTTGTGCTTACTGAGGTAGAGTTTCGGGGAAAAATTGTGTCCAAATTGGTTAGGTGCGAGTGGATAGACAACATTTACTACACGCTTGGTTTTATTAGGAATCAGTGTACATAAAATTACAATAATCATAAATATCCAAAATACATTCTTTCACCCTATTTCTATACAAAGTGGATTTTCCACACATCGCAGTAATAAACTCGGTACGATCTTCGAAATAGACGTACCGACATTGCTCTTCGTTGTTCAAAAATTCTGAAATTTCTTCAGGCGTGCACATGGTAAGAACGCAATCAATAGCGGCTTGTAGTACCATTTGGGGCCTCATATATTTAATGCACCCTATGTAGTCCTCGTATGGGTAAACCTTGTCAACTGAGTACCCATACGACTTCAAAACTCTCCCCAGTTCGTCGTAGTAAATTTGGATCAAGTCGTCTTCATGTTTCAATCTAGTACTACGATCCGTTGTTAAATGAAGCACTGAAAGAATATCATAAGCAGGTGGACTGTATCTCACGATTTGAAAATCAATCAAGACACAGTCGGTTGGTTTATCGTCTTGAAGTTGTACCATCATGTTGCTAGTCCATAGATCACCATGACACAAAACGTTGCGAAAACGGTCAGACGGTCTGATAACTGTGTAGAACAACTCCTTCAGTTTTGGCCAGAAGTTGCGAAAGTTGCGTTGATTCTGTTCAGTTTGAACTTCTTTCAACAACTCGGTAGCTGTCACAACCGATTTCATTCCAATTATGAATGATAGTGCTCCTTTGTGTTGATCG